GCCCGACAGGTGATCATGAGCGCCGGCTCACACGAGCAGCGCGGCCGGGGACGGTCATGCCGCTTTATCGTTATCTCCATGGCTACCATCGATGATGGCGCGCTCCGGCCGGATAAACAGTCCCGTTGTCATGGCGACCGCGTAACGGGATGGCAGACTCGACAGTGCGTGTCGTGGGAAGGAAGCCCAGCTCACACCTCTGGCTTCTACTCAGTTCCCACCAAGCCCTGATGGCGGGCCACACGAAGAATGGAAGGGGTCAGGTCGAGAGGCAAAAATCCTGATGGCCGGCGACACGAAGGCTGGAAGGGGTCAGGTGGAGGGACCAAAGTCCTGATGGCGGACGACACGGAGGCTGGGAGGGGTCAGGTGGAGAGACCGAAATCATGTGCAGGCTTAACTGAATCGGCCACTGAATTCATGACATTCGTTCTCACCCGTCGATATTGATCGTCCAGTGGACTTTACCAACGGAACTTATTTTTATAGTCGCCGTGCACGCGTAGAAAATTCCATCTCTTGCTATTACTTGCGTTTCCTCGAGATAAAATATCCTTGCTGTTCCTTCCCCAGACCGCATTATTTCTGCACGATTACGGCTACAAAATACAGTTAATAAGACTAGCACCACCGTTGCAGTATTTTGACCCAGCGTCCATGTCATTGGCTACGGCGCGGTGAGTCCGACCCTCCATGGCAATACACGACATTCCTGCCATTCCGCACTTTCAGCGCTGAAAACTTTGACAAGGCTATTTTCTCCTCGCTCTGGTAAGATGACTGAAAACGTTGGTGGCCCTGAAGCCTGCAACAGACGTTTGCCTCGTTGGGCCGTTACAGTCGGTGGGAAACTTCTTACAGCAAACAACAAACATGTGGGCGGAATCGAATAACGGATCCTAGGAAAAGGATCCATTCCGTAAGCTTATGAAACTTGGTGTCCACATTTGTAATTTGTCAACGCTTTTAAGAAGGTGGATACATTGTGACTGTATTACTGTAAGGCAATTCGTCCACAACTTCTAGGTGCTCAAAGCAGGACGCCTTCCCCATTTCTCAGTCCCATATCTAGCCTGTTCTTTACGACACCAGTAGTAAAGGGAGTCTTCCACATCTGTGTGGGGTTTTGAACTGAAACAGTCATCTTGAAGATAATTTCCTGAAGTTTGCGGCCCAGCCCTGCTTAAAACCTAAAATCCTTTTGTTTCTGAGCCACACGCCCGCGAAGATGAGCCGACTATTTCGAGCAGACTATTTCAAGGTTACTCAGACATTTATGACACCATACTAACGCCATTTAAATTCTGCCATTCCGCTGACCGGGCAGCAATCAAGATCGAGAAAATAGTAATTACCGAGACGTTCGTGGGCACGACTTCCAGACATAGCGGCCGTCCATTGTATCTAACCCAATGTCGTGCAACCCGTGCAAGATCTAACACCATTGATTAGGCTATTGAGATTAGAGACCTTTTGACCGGTATTGACCATTTCAGGCCTATTGGGTGAATAGGACTGGATAACGGTAAGGCAGGAGGGCTAAATGCGTCTGGGTGCTAACCGCCGAGGTTAAGCCCGCGCAGGGACCGCTCTGTGGGGTATGCCTCCGGGCGCCCGCTCGGGGTCCCCCTGCAGGGGGCCTCTCGGCCCACTCGTTCCCAGCGCCTGCAGTCATGCAGCCTGCCCCTGACAATCGGGGCGTCTTCATGATACTGAAAGCACGGCAAAGGATAAGGGGTCGGATGTACAACATTAATTACTTTGACTCTGTTTGGTTTGGGCGTTTCGGCCCGTTCAAACCATTTCACGCCTGGAAGAAGGGAAACTAAACAGGCGTTATTTACGAGTTTTCATATCACTTGAAGCATGTATATATGTCTTGAAAAAATCGGACATAGGGTCTAGGAGATGTGGGTGAAAATCACCTAATAAGTTTTTTAACGATAATTCCAGGTTGTGCTGACGGCAATAGGTCCGCAGCATATTCCGTTGCTGTTGGTATTATCCACTTCAAGAAGCATATGTTTGGCTGTAAGAGGACGACCACTGGTGTGCTGGCCGGCCGAGGGCGGACTAACCTTCCCCAAACGGTATGTGCGGTTTGCTGATGTTTGAGGTGCAATGTGTGATTTGATGTCATGAAGTTGGGTTCTATTACTTGCTGTCCATTGCTCTTACCAAAGTCGTTTTGTCAAGTCACGAATGGATGTCTTCATTGTGGCATGGTGAACAGGGATGGGTGTAATGTGAAGGTCCGTTAATGCTTCCTTGGCCAATTGTTCAGTCCGTTTATTCCCTATGATACCTTTTTTGGCCCTGGATCCACAAAATATGTGATGTCTATGCCACGTGTGGCTAAAGAATGACGAGGTTCATGATATTGACGAGCGGTGGTGAGTTAAGTTGGGTGAAAAGAGACTGCAAAACCGTCTTTGAATCGGAACATGTCATCATAGTCCTGGTCCTATGTTTTTGCCGGTGCACATGTTGCAATGAAAGAAAAGGAGGAAATCATTTTTGCAAGGTAAGCCGATATGCCATCTGGCAGTCTGCATTTTTGTGAATGAGTGTGGCGTAGCATCGCACATCCTGTGCGGCTTTCGGTGCCGAGATCATCGGAATAAAAAGTGACAATTTAACTATTTCGCAACCATGCGGTTGAATTTATGCTGTGCGTGGGCTTTTGACAGAACTTTTAAGACTTCTAAAGAGCAACAAAGCCTTCCGTAGTGTTGACTGCCAGGGAGGCACCATTAGATTGCTGGTAGGGGGGTCCGCGGTAGAACGTAAGCTGGGTTCTGGCAGAAGACGGTCACCCGAGACGCGATCGTGAGGCCCAAGCGACGTTCTGCACAAACCTATGTGCGTATGCTCAAAACTACGTTACATAAATTGCTCAGTTATCGATTCTGACTGCATATTGAACACTTACAGACACACATGGCTTGTCCATGCTCATGCAAATTGTTGACCCGTTTTGATCTTCAATCTATATTCGCGTGGTCCTTGATACCTCTGTACATCCCAGATACCAATTTTGACAAACCTGAGTTCGATTGGTTTAAAAAGAGCTCACTGGACCATTGTAAGGCTAAGTGGGTCGGTGCTTTATTTCATGTAGTCGTTTCACGCATGGGTTTTCCAGTTTATTGACAAAACTTCAGCCAGTATAGATCTCGTCATAGCTTCTGGCATCCATTCCAGTTACAGAGGGTAAAAATGAACAAAAATGTGACAGAAAACAAACCCACATTAACAATGAGTCATATTCGGTAATTTGCTTTGCGAGTCCTATTACTATCAGGGGGCCCTTTGTTAACCCTATGCCCCTCCCCCCCCCCCACACACGCACCTTACCAAGGCTCTGACTGCGTGCAAGAATCAAATAACTATAACATCAGAATAGCGCTAAACCCGAATATGCGAATGCAAGAAAGCACCACACAGACAGTGCTCCACATTTATATGGGGATTTGAACTGAGAAAGCCATCTTGAAGATCTTTCAGTTCGGTTTAGAGCCCTACCCTTTTTATGACCTAAAAACTCCTCCAGTTTCTGAGCTAAACACCTGCGAAAATGGGAGAAGTATTTCGGAGAAAGTACTTCAAGGTCACCTTGGTATTCATGACGTCATAATCACGTCATTCAAATCCTGCCGCTTTAAAAACCATGCGGCGGCCAAGGCTGGAAAACTATAATGGTTGAGTCGTTCATATCTGGCGTTCGTCGGTACAAGTTCCAAATGTAACGGCGGTCCATTGGCTCTTGATCAACGTTGTACAAGGAAAAGATGACGTAATCAAACAATGACGTATCGAGAAGCATACCTATTAAACAGAGAATGTGTGATGTCTAGAGCAGTCTTTTCTACTTCAAAGTATGTCAATTGTTATGAGTGAGCTTGTTTCATCATATATGATGCTAGCTTCAAAATATATTCAAATGTAAAACATTCCTTGTAACTCACGGATAAATACGCAAGAACACTACGCTAAATGCCAAAAAACACGAGTACAAAACGGTATTTGGTTTCGCACAAAGCCAGCAACACCGCAGTGAGTAGCAGTTTTACCAAATATTGGCCTTTTGTTGTCTAGAGCATGCTTCTCTATTAAAACGTGTACTAATGATTATAGGCGAGCTTATTTCATCATATCTGATGCTTCGTTCGATACCTTCAAATGTGGAACGTTGCCTTTATGGGTATGCGGGATGCATCACAAACACTCCAACCAATCTGGCTCATAATTGAATGTGTAGGAAAGGTGTCGTACATATTTTCCAGAAAATCATCGAGAACCGTGATTGGATGCAAGATGACTCCCCTTAGACTTCGTCACTATCACCGATACCCTGTAACGTTTTGTGCCTCATAACAACCGCCAATCAGCAAGCATGATCATTGCAAACCGCAGCAGACTTCCAGCAGGTTGACCTCTCTCAACACCCGCAACATTCTGTCGTGCAGAATGCGAAGGCGCCCCCAGGGAATGCTTCGAGATGCCAAGCCGTTTGCTCGAACTATTCAAATTCTGCGGGCGCTAGACCCGATCACGAACGGCGGTTCACGCATAAACAACGGCTGATAAGAGGCGCTGCTGAACGAGACGGGCGCGGAGTTGGCGGGAGGCCATCTGCTGACGCAGTTTAAAACTTCAAACGTCCATCCGCACCTGGGGAGAACAGGAGCGCACGCGCAGCCCTGCTCGGAAGCCCGCTTGCGACACAAGGCATCCGTCCGACATGCACATCACGTCGAAGCGAACGCAGGCAGACGGCCGACAATGCGCCAGTGCTCAGGTGTGACCCGTCCCCCCCCCCCCCCCCCTGCCGGTTCAGGAACCGGCTTTACGCAACTGCGGCCGTTGTGGGGCGGTGGCCGCCGGTTGTAACGAAGCCCCTGATTGGACACTGGTCGGCCGGTCTGCGCGCGCCAGACGCATGGGCGGCGGCCGGCGGCCCCCTGGTGGCGGGGACCAGGGCAAGAACCGAGCCGCTGGCGCCGCGCGCGAGAGCCGCACCAGTCGCTGACGAGTCGCCGGTGGAGAGGGTCGGATCACAGAAGATTACAGTACAAAATGCGTGAGATCGTGCACCTGCAGGCCGGCCAGTGCGGCAACCAGATCGGATCCAAGGTAAGAATAGACGCAGTGGGACGTCAGGTGAGAGAAGATCTGTTTCTTGCGTGGACCAGTTAGGTGGGTCCACTGATGACGTCAGTGCAAATGAGCCTTATTGACTTATTTGTCTGGGTGTACTGGGGCATGTTTTGAAGAGAACTGCAATGTGGTGCCCACGGGAATCGTATGAATGAGCTAAACGTATGATTGAGACTTGGATGCAGGTCAGCTGTCCTCTGGTGGTAAACACACAGAATTGAGGCATTAATTGTAATTAACGTTTTCGCGGCGTCAGTCCCTTCCTGTCTTGGCATCAGTCGCTTCCTGTTTTCTTCACGGTGGTTCGGCTCCTGGCTAATCGTACTGGCGGAAACCGGCGCCGACGTCTCGCTCGGCCGCCGCCGTGGGAAGGGTGTTCCGTCCCGCGTCACGTCCGCCGTGACCGCATTCTGTCTGGGCGGGCGGCGCGGCACGAGCATTCCAAAGCGCCGGGTCTGAAGCCGCACCTCAGGTCACGGCCCCCGCGAGCGCCGCCGACCCGCGGCCCGCACGCTGCAGGACTGCGTGTCACGTCTGGGCCGGAGGAAGGACCTCCGCGCCGTGGTGTAGTGGCGTCGCCCGCACGGTGAACCCGTCCGGGGCAGTGGCGGCACGTTTCCCACGGCCTGGATCACGTCGGGGGCGTGACGTAACCCGGCCGCCCCTGTGCTCCAAAATGGCCGTTGCCGCCACATGTCCCCCGCAGGCGAGGGGAGGGGTGCGTGTGGGGAGGCCCCGTCGGCGCGCGCGCGCGGCCGTTGTCCCTTTTTGCCGCCCGATTTTGAATTCTTTGTCCACGCTAGATGCGTGGCGGGAGGGCGCCGGAGGAATGCGCGAGGCACTGATCACGTGACCGGCAGTTCTGGTGCCCTCAGCCGTGAGCTTATCGCTGCTCCTGAGGAGTCAACGGGCCAACATAGACCCTGGCGCTGCGTTCACTTGCCGCGGGCGCGTTTGGTCAGAGTTATAAAAAGCCGGCGGCCATGCTGGAGGAAGTGGCGCCGGCCGGCTGGCAGCGCGCCAAGGCTCAACGTGGCGATGGCGGGCGACGCCCCGATATCGACCGGTCGGCAACTGTCTGGTCGGACCGTCTGGCCGACCCCGACCTTCGCCCCACGGGAGTGCCGGCGCTAAACCCTGGCGGTAGCGGTGTATTAGGCTGCTGGGGAGGGGAGGGGGGGGGGGGGTGGAGCAGGTTTGATGACCGCTCCTCCACGCCGCACTGCGCGGCCGGCGATTCGGTCCACCGGAGATCCCTTCCTCTCATGCGGGTCCGCGGGTCGTGGAGGTTGGAGAGAGCCTGCCGCGTGGGGGGCCCACGGCACGGCGAGGGGGGGTGGGGTGGGGGGTGGCAGTTGGCAAGCTTAAATGGCAGATAGCCGCCCGCCGGCTCAGGCCGAGCGGTCCGGGTTACTTGGCTCCGGGGGACGGGTGGCGTGACCCGCACCGACCCCGAGTGGCGGACGTCCTGGTGCGGCGCGGCGCAGCGCGCGGTCTCTGACCCGAGCGGCCCGCTTCCGGTCTGGCGTCGCGGTGACGGGCGGCCGGGCCGGCGCGGCGTCAGCTGGCCGGCTATCCCTGCTGCGCGCCGCCGGCCGGAGCGAGCTGGCAGACCCGCTTCTGAGGACTTGTTCGCCGCTTACGCTCAGGTCCCACCGATGTCGTTACCCAAGGGTTGGCTTTCAGCAGAAAATTTACGAGAGGAATGGTGGACCACACTCCTCCCTGTCCCTCCCTGAGCGATTTGTTTGTTTTTTTGTTGGCGTTGCAGGCTTTTTCCTCCTTCAGTGTCTGATGGCGTTCCGCGACGATACCTCGGAGTGTGGGGACGTCGCTAAACAGCCCCGAGCCTGTCCGCCAGTGCTCTCCGAGCGTGTGCCTTAACGGGGTCTGTTTGGCCTTCGACAGTTCTGGGAGATCATCTCTGACGAGCACGGCATCGACCCGACCGGCACGTACCATGGCGACTCGGACCTGCAGCTGGAGCGCATCAACGTCTACTACAACGAGGCCAGCGGCGGCAAATACGTGCCCCGTGCGGTGCTGGTGGACTTGGAGCCGGGCACCATGGACTCCGTGAGGTCCGGACCCTTCGGGCAGATCTTCAGGCCCGACAACTTCGTCTTCGGTGAGTGGTGCTTGAGCGGTGTGCGGTCCTGGGTTCTGTTTTCTGCCAGTGCGCCCAGATGGGCGTTGTTGCTTCTGAGGTCATCAAGTGTCTTGTTTTGAACTGGTTAACGTGGTTCCGACGTCGTAAATTGACATTTGCACAAACGCTTCAATATTGTCGGTTAGTGATCATACCCAGCTGCACGAAAAGTAGCCATCAGACTGTGACGTTACATGTACCTTGGTCCTGTTTCAGGTCAGTCTGGAGCCGGCAACAACTGGGCCAAGGGCCACTACACAGAGGGCGCCGAGCTGGTCGACAGCGTCCTTGATGTCGTCCGCAAGGAGGCCGAGAGCTGCGACTGCCTGCAGGGCTTCCAGCTGACACACTCCCTGGGAGGTGGCACCGGCTCAGGCATGGGCACCCTGCTCATCTCCAAGATCCGGGAAGAGTACCCCGACCGGATCATGAACACATACTCCGTCGTGCCCTCCCCCAAGGTTTCAGACACCGTCGTCGAGCCCTACAACGCCACCCTCTCCGTCCATCAGCTGGTGGAGAACACCGATGAGACGTACTGTATCGACAACGAGGCGTTGTACGACATCTGTTTCCGTACCCTAAAGCTTGCCAATCCCACATACGGTGATCTCAACCATCTCGTCTCTTTGTGTATGTCCGGTGTCACCACCTGCCTGAGGTTCCCTGGCCAGCTGAACGCTGACCTCAGGAAACTTGCCGTCAACATGGTACCCTTCCCCCGTCTCCACTTTTTCATGCCCGGTTTCGCTCCTCTCACCTCTCGGGGCAGCCAGCAGTACCGGGCTCTCACCGTGCCCGAGCTGACCCAGCAGATGTTCGACGCCAAGAACATGATGGCCGCGTGCGACCCGCGCCACGGACGCTACCTCACGGTGGCGGCCGTCTTCAGAGGACGCATGTCCATGAAGGAGGTCGATGAGCAGATGCTTAACATCCAGAACAAGAACAGCAGCTACTTCGTGGAATGGATCCCGAACAACGTGAAGGTTGCTGTGTGTGACATCCCACCCCGTGGTCTGAAGATGTCTGCCACCTTCATCGGTAACAGCACCGCCATCCAGGAGCTGTTCAAGCGCATCTCGGAGCAGTTCACGGCCATGTTCCGGCGCAAGGCTTTCCTCCACTGGTACACCGGAGAAGGCATGGACGAGATGGAGTTCACTGAGGCGGAGAGCAACATGAACGACCTGGTGTCCGAGTACCAGCAGTACCAGGAGGCCACCGCCGATGACGAAGCTGAGTTCGACGAGGAGGAGGGCGAGGAGCTGGAGGCTTAAGCTCCCGCTCGCCTCCCCACTTCTCTCCAGCGTTCTGTCCACGTCACCCGCCGCCGGCAGTCGCACCTCTCCGCCGATGCGTCGGTACCGGCGAGCGAGGCGCGGCAGCCGGCTCGACGCGCTCACCGGTTTGTTTGGTTCGCTCACCGGACGGACTCACGGCGTGCGTCCTTCACCGGCGGCGCCCGCCCTCTCGTGGAGTCCCGGTGCCCGCGCCCTTCGTGTCTCGCACATTCCTGTATAATTTGACTCGTGCTGGGTACGACGCGAAATATAAATTATTTACTGTTGCTCGGTATTTGCGATGCGCAAGGAATTTTTGTAGACAATATCGAACCAGCAAACTCCAGTGCGGCTGGTTGTGAGGGAAGGGTAAAATACACAGAGGGTCGACGGCTGTAGACTTAAATTGCCGAGGAAACCGGAAGGAGATCTGGTACACTCAACGAGAGTACGAGGAGTCATGTGGACTGGGTAGGGGGTACCGCCTGTGGTGTGGCCAGAGGGGCGGACTGGAGGAGAGCTCGCCAAGCACCTCAGCTGAAGTCGTGTCAGCAGGAATCGAGAAATATTTTTGCGGAAAGATATCTGATTGAATGGACAGTTGGCTGGGCGGGAACGTCATGTCCTCACGCTCGAAAAGTATGTGGCGAGTCGTGTGGTTTTCACGTTCAGCCTGTAGTGGCTGCATGATTGCACGTTGCCGTAGCCTGCATTATTAGTCGCAGAATGGCTTGGGTGCGCGTCACCATGCAGCCGCCCAGATACACCTTAGCGCAGTACCAGTGTCACCGGCTGCAACGCCCTCAGACGTCGGCAAACTAGGCTCAACCGCGGAAGCCGCTCTACGCTTCTCAGCATGTACATGCGCAAGCAATTCGCGAATGTTCGCACCCGTTGGTGAGAGATTTGTTCCGCCTTCGCATTGTATTGCAGACTAGTTTTACGAAGCCATTTCGTTGGTCCGTTTTGTCTTGCACAGTTGGCGCACCCATGACTGAGGCAAGTGCACATCAGCAGCTTTGTGTCAATCCTCCAGATAGATTTGATCTTATCGGGTGATTTGATTGTCGGGGAGGCTGTCACATCGGCTGGTCGGAGCTCAAGGCTTCCAAAGCATTTGGCCGTTCTATGCAGGAATGTGACACGTGGACAGGTGCCTTTGGAGTGACGACTCAGTGACTGAGGGAATGAGGTGTGCCAATAAATCACAGTCGGGCGAAATGCGTGAAATACTGCATCATTCTTTCCTGATAAATGCGGTATATTTTTTCCAGGAGTCCGCCGTTTGTGCTGAGCGAATTCCCCAACGCACTGGTCTTGGGGGCTCTACGGTAGGCGGGTTCGGGTAATATTTTCATTATGCCACCGCTTTATGTCGCACCGTTGCGGCGCAGGCAATGCGCAAAGGGACGCTATTGCTTTTGGAATTTACTGGTTCGAAGAAGTTTCGTTAGAAATTAATGCGCTGTTTGCTCCATGAAAATTAAAGCTAGCATACTTGTAAGCATACTTCCCTTCGTGGTATTGGTTTTGGTTTTAAGGACCTGTCAGCGTGGAGGCTATTTTGGGCTTACGAGCGTACTACCCTTCAGATTTCATGAATGCTTACCAGATTACGCTAATGCCGAGCTAGCTCGGTTCTGACGCACCCACTTGGCCGCAGGGCCAGCACGGTGGTGGTGTACTGTAGGACCATATTCGTAATGGGTCCATGCGTTCACTCGTACGATGGACCGCGGGTCGCAGGGACCGGTTTTGCCAGATCCGGCGTGTCGTTTCCAGCCTCACATACCAGGCAGAATATGGCTTGTGCATGCGCTTGCAACTGTCGCCACGAGCGGACGGCCTAGGCTTGGTCGCGGCCGCGCCTCTGTCGCTGGCGAGGTCGTCGGCTCGTCAGGCTGAAACTCGAGGTGTGCAGCAGACAATGCACATTATGCGCATGCGCCGTGCCCACGCGGTGGCTCCCCGCGCGCCGTCTCCCCAAAACTGGCGCTGTTGGCTTCCGCCGAGCGGAGGTTCGTCCACGCCAGCGGCACATGCGCCGTGCCCACGCGGTGGCTCCCCGCGCGCCCTCTCCCCAATACTGGCGCTGTTGGCTTCCGCCGAGCGGAGGTTCGTCCACGCCAGTGGCACATGCGCCGCGCCCACGCGGTGGCTCCCCGCGCGCCGTCTCCCCAAAACTGGCGCTGTTGGCTTCCGCCGAGCGGAGGTTCGTCCACGCCAGTGGCACATGCGCCGCGCCCACGCGGTGGCTCCCCGCGCGCCGTCTCCCCAAAACTGGCGCTGTTGGCGTCTGTCGAGCGGAGGTTCGTCCACGCCAGTGGCACCGTTAGGAGCGTGCGCTCTGTTTAATCTGCGTGCGCGTGCTTCCGCCGGTGAACGTCTTTCGTGCCGCTCACCGGGCCACCCGGAGGCATGTGCGTCAAAACGGATTTTATGCGGATCCACGGCTTCAGGGAGATTAAACATATACACCTGACGGTAAATTCCGTTTTGATCAAGCGCTAGCATGGCCCGAGTCACAGGAAGCAAGGTGAGCTGTTTTGGCAGCACTGTTTACCTCACCTGGCCGCAGCAGCACACGGATGCACGAGAAGGCTGGCCGGGTCAAATGACATGAACCAGTCGAACGCCTTTCCGCTTTTGAAAGAGCTACGCTAGACTGAATGACTCATTGCTGCATACTTCACCGTAGTTTTTCTCCCATTGTTACGACCGTTCGCAGCTTGAATTACAGGCACACAATTATCAGAAAGGTCCTGTATCACGAAACCAGTGTAGGCATTTCGCTTGGGATGCATTTTACATCCCATAAAAAATCACGGATATGATTAAAACGGCTTCAATGAAACCAAGACAAGAACAAGCAAGAACAGTGTGCTAGTACAGCTTTGATGGTGCAGTGAAATATGAAGAGGAGGTAAATTAAGACTTTAATGCATCAAAATGGTATAACAGAAAATATATGTGCAGCGCTCCGATTAGGTGTGGGTGATTCTTATATAATTGGGAGATTATCGCCGCGTGCGCATACTTTCAGACATGCGCATACATTCAGGCATGCGCATACTTTCAGGCATGGGCATACTTTCGGGCATGGACATAATTTCAGGCATGCGCATACTTTGAGGCATGCACATACTTTGAGGCATGCACGTACTTTCAGGCATGGGCATACTTAACCACCTTAAAAGCTGCGCTCTCCGGCGCAGTTTGTATGAATTCATCCATCCGGGTGTGACTTGCATTACATAACACAAACAAATGCTTGCAAGATAATTCCAGTGCTAAAGATTAACTCTCGGTCCAGCGCTTTCCGTCAGCCTAGCACTCGTAAAGCCAGCGATCATGCACAACGCCTTGCACTGAGCCGGCTTATAGACCGGGGGTCTGGTTTGGACCCTAAACCGGCTCTTACGTCACCTTGCCCCTGAATGGCTGTACACCGAACGTGCCGGCGAGGAACTGCCGCGCCGTCGGCCGGTCGTAGCCATATCGCTATATAAGTAAAAAAAAGGAACGATGCGATGATTCGTCATGGGGAACAATATTTATGAAGTATGCCAGTAATTCGAATGCCGATCTCGAACCACCACCTCAAGAAACAAGGTCCCCTCGGTTACCCGCCGCCGCCGCCGCCGTTCGCTGTTGGCCGTGCCGTAGCCCGGGGTGGTGGGCCGCGCCGCATCTCAGCCCGAAATAGCGTTCTCCTTACGGGCGGGGCGGCAGGCTGTCAGCTGACTCAGCTGGGCTCGGCGTGAGCCCGCCTGGCCGCCGTCCCAGCGGCCAGCGGGCAGCAGGAAGTGTCAGCGGAGGCTGATGACGTCAAAGGTGCAGGTACACGTGTCGGCTCGAGCCTCGGCCGGGGAGCTGTCGGCAGCGATGGGGAAGTGGCTGCGCACATGTGAAATGCAGCTGCGTGAACGCGCCAGATCCATATTGATAGCAGTTGAAGCAAAGCGTCACTTGATGTCGATGCTGCTTACAAGACATTTGAATGCAGCAATACGAAACGGTTCCTTTAAGAGAACGTTCGGCCCGCACGTTGGCTTTTGGCTGTGCTAGATGATAATGCCCTTTGCTTGATAGAAAGCATGAGCTGCTTTTGTCTCCCTTTTCATCATTAATTTGTTAAAACTCCTTCATTTGTCGTTCAGACAAAGCCAACTTGAAGAGGACTTTCATCTCTCCGTCTCTGGCTATTCACGTAGCTCTGGTACGGACTCAATGCTGTCATTTAATTCTGGTACGGGTTCAATGCTGTTTCATACAATGTCTTTTGCAGCGCGATATGCTCACCATATGATACCATCGTTTAAGTCCCTAAATCTAAAGCATGCACTGTCAGATTAGCTGTACAGCCAGGAGAAAGCAACAAGTTCTCTGGCATTGTTGCTGGCATTATGGTCAAGGAACGCCTCACCCTCCCACGCAATGTCTATCTTTAGTTAATCCCATCATATCAAACAGTGCGGAGGTTGTGATAGTTTAAGCCGAGGCAACATACTCTAACAAACACTCCGGAGATTCTGATTATGAAAGCTGCATACATCAGTGGACCCATATCTTCCAGCTGCAAAGGTGGCAGGGCGACGCCTTCCCTATATGGAGCTCCCTTCCCAAAAATTCGAACAGCTATAACTTTTCTCATTCCTAGCACCATGCACTCAGTTCTGAAGTGGAATCAGCATTTCGTTGTTGAATCTGTAAGACGTTCTTTCCCAGTTATACCTCATCCACCACCCCTCAGTGCGTCTTCCTGACCTTGCGGTTTTGCCCACGCGTCTAGCGAGACGGTGAGTCATCCGACGGCGCACGATTGGCCCGGGGCGGTGGTGACCGGCTGATTCAGCCGTATCGACCTGCCTCTTCCCCCGCCGCCGTCCGCGACTCGCGTGCTTCGCCTAACTATCCGCCGCCAGGCGACGCTGATTCATGCCAACAAGCGGACGAATGCGTCACGCGGAAACCAATCGGCGCAGGGGCACGTTTTGGAACAACAATTATTGTGTGTTGAATATGGTTTTGTTCGTTACGTTTGAATGGGGAAGTACTGCTAGGTGTGCTTTCTGTGTCGCTAGGAAACCATATAAGAAGAAATATTAGCATGGGTTTAGATACGCAAAGTG